GAATAGAGACAAGTGCGTATTTAGGGTAGGCTAGTCCGTAGTGTCTTCCCAGGGGGTGATTCGAGTGTGTTCGATCACCCCCCAGTCACAGACTTTACTAAAAGCGGCCCCTGCCTATTTCCCCCAGTCGTTCGCAATATTCACAGCGGAACCGGAACCGGCCTTGGCCCTTGGCCCTGCCCCCTGCCCAGCTGTGCAAAGCTGCCAATGCGGTTTGTACCACAGGGGCGCTAAAGGCGCGATTGTTGTTAGATCAATAGACAAGGAAGGGTGCACTTGATGAGTCGGGCTTGTTGCTCTCAGGGTTCGTTCACAGCGAATTGCTGACGTGTGATATGCAGCGTCCTCTCTTAGGGAGTTGGGGTTGCAAGTTTGCTTTGACTTGGTAGGAGTGGCAGTAATTAACTTTGCAATCGCTTGTTCGTTTACGTAAACACCAGCAGAAGAGGACATAGCTAAGGGCTAATCTGACAAGCATCATTTACTCCGAAGAGGAGCGCTCAGAACATTCGCTGGTTGAAAGCTACTCTGCGGCGGCGGAAAACTGCAAGCGAGGCATGTAGACCGACAGAAAACCCCAGCGTCAACCGCACAAGTCTCAATGGCGGCCCCACGAATCGAGGTGAGTTAGTCAAACCACTCCAATGGAGGGATTTGGAGCGGTTGCGATGGACTACTGGTGGACAATTAGCTGCTGTCACAGGATAAGGGGAGAGCGTCTACGTCTCTGCATTTTGCGTCTCGGTTCAATAGTAAAAATTCGGCTTTCCTTTAGCAAGACTATCATCGGGTGCAGTACAGACGTATACAGCTGTCATGCTGCGCTGCATTTCAAACTTTTCAGAGGCACCTTGGCTCCTGCCTTGCTCGTTGGCTTACCGTAACAAATGTCTCTCCACTGATTCTGCAGTCGCCTGCCAAGAGGGACCAGCTGCGCCGCTGCTTGGGCCTGAAGGTGGTTGTCGGATTGCTGGCTCTTGCGCTGATCTGTTTCTGGAGTCTCGACTTCTCCTCTGGTAAGATCTTTTTCCCCCTTTTTGGCATAGCAATAGATCAATGTAACCGGATGCCTGATTGTATCAGTGCATTCTCTTTGATTGGCCACGCAGATATCAAGACAAAAGCTGTTGACCTCTTTCATGAGGAGTTGTTTCTACCATTTGCCTCTCAGTCAAGAAGCAGGCAAGGCACCCTCTCGGCAGATCTTGGTTTTGTCTAGCAAAGGCAAATACGTGAGATTCTCTATTAGAAGGACAATCCTAATCAAGTTATGCCCTTGGAAGCTGAACTTCAAAGCCAGCTGTCTCGCCTGCTCCCCCTTTCTGGTGCTCAACCCAACCAGCTCTGTATGCAGAGAAGCACATCAACCAACTGGGCGTTTTGGGGTTGCAACAAGACCGCTGGAATAGTGGAAAGGCAGAGAGGGTGCATCCCAACACGACTAAGCAGGTGGACACTCAAAAGCAGGGAACGGAAAAGGTGGATTTGGAGGTTAGTCCTTGGACATGACAGATGACATCCACAATCTGGTTGGTCTTCATTGAATGCCCTGTAGTGCCTGTTCTGTATCTGATTGGAGGTTGCTGGTGCCAGAAGTTGACCTCCTGAGGAGCACGCGGATCAATGTCGGGGGACTTCATATCTGGCTGGCCTGCCCACGGCTGCCGGCTCCAGAACCACTGATGGACGTCTGTTTGTCAAGTTGTAAGATTGACGACAAAGGGCGATCCTCTTGAGGATGTGTTACGGCTTCCCCCGGCCTGGAACGTCCATTGTCGGCTGACATTTCCTGCCCCGTCTTCCAGCAGGCACAGGCGGAGCCGAAGCAAGAAACGGAGCCTCTCCGGCAGAGCGAGACGCGGAACGAGCCTGAGAAAGTGACGGAGGGGGAGGCGTTTGAAGACGAGCTGGACATCGAAGAGGGGACAGAGGAGGACGAAGAGGTGGCGTGGGTCCCCAAGAAGGAGGCGCCCAAGCCGGTGGTGGTCGACACGCACGCCAGCCCGGAGCCCGCGGATCTGCGGGACGAGGTTTTTGAGTGCAACTACACCAACCCGCGCTCCGACTTCTGCGTTATGAAAGGGGACGTGCAGGTGGGTTAACGCTTTCTCTGCTCACGTCTTCTCCCTTCTGTGGGTCGAACGAAACGGCAGGGGGCTCTGCAGAGATTTGCTGTGTTGAGGCGCTTGTTTCCGGGTCACATTGCCTTCTTCAGAAGGAACGGGTGAGTCTCAGGACAAGGTTATTGCAAGTTCGGTCTTGGCCTTTCCTCGAGGTCAATTTGTGAAGATGGAAGTGCGCCATGCATCTGATTTGAAACAAGAACGTATGAGAACTTCGAAAACGAGATAAACGTGTCTTTTTGTTTTTTTGAGTTTATGTCCGAGCGGAGCTGCCCTGTTCTGGTGTCTATTTGATGTCTGCGTCGATGTAAGCTCACCAGTCGCCTGATTGATCTGTCAATTCCTGAGGAGAATCTGAAAGACAATCCTCGGTTCCTTTAGCACTTCTTAAAAAGGAAGGTGTTTACTTCTGTTGACTCGTTTCAACGTTCAAGCCCCCGTCTGGTCATGTCAACAACGGTTCGTGACGCCCACTGTCCCCCCTCCTTCACCTGGTGGCGTCAGTCTTCTCAAATCTGTGCGATTGTGCTTTCTGTGTACGCTAGAAAAACCTTCCTGCGTCGCTCAGAAACGTTCTTGCCTGGTGGCTCTCCATTATTTGTGAGGCAAGTCTGAGTCCTTGTTCCTGCTCAGGTGAACGTGCACGACAAATCCTTCCGGCTGCTCGCCCTCAACGCGAGCACCCCCCGCGGCCGGCTGACCATCAAGCCGTTCCCACGCAAGCAGTTCCCGGGGTCGCTGGACACGGTCACCGAACTCGCCCTCGAGAGCGTCGACGCCCCGGCGGACGGCGCCGCAGTCGAAGCCGAGCTGGAGTGCTCGGAGGTGCACGAAGTCCCCGCGCTCGTCTTCTCGACAGCGGGCCACACGGGCAACTACTACCACGACATGACCGACGGCTGGGTGCCGATTTACATCACGGCGTACCCGTTCGAGCGCGAGGTGGTGTTCGTCATATCGGACCCGGTCGGCTGGTGGTTCGACAAGTACGTGGGGCTGATCAACGCGCTGACCAAGTACCCGGTTCTGAAACTGGGCGAAGACCAGCCGGTGCACTGCTTCCAAGAGGTGCGATTCGGGCTGATCAGCCACGGGGACATGGCGGTCGACGAGACGCTGCCGCCGCATATTCGGCTCGAGTGGCTCGGCCAGCGATGGGCCCGCGTGGCGGGGTTCCCGGTGCTGCCGACTCGCGCGAGCGGGACGGACTCGGGGCCGCTGCGGCTGGGGTGGGTGCACCGAGCGGAAAAGGAGCGGAACGTGTTGAACGAGAAGGCGATGCTGGACAAGGCGCGGGAGATGGGGTTCGAGGTGGTCATCTTGAACCGGTTCCGCAACATGGAGGAGATGTTCCAAACGATCCAGCCGCTGGACGTTCTGATGGGCCTGCACGGCTCGGGCCTGAGCAACTTCATCTTCATGCGCGGGAACTGCGTCCTGATCCAGCTGGTGCCGTTCCAGCTGGAGTGGTTCTCGGACAACTCGTTTGGGATCGGGGCGCAGATCAGCCGGGTGAAGTACATCGCGCCGGTGTTGTCCTGGAACGAGAGCAGCTTGTCGCAGCAGTATGCTTACGACAGCGATGTGCGATTGCATCCCGAGGAAATCTCGGACAGAGACGGGTGGCAGGCCTGGGCGCATTACTACTTAGAAGCCAACGTTACGCTTAAGATGGAGACCGTCGAGAGTGTGCTGCAGGAAGCTAAAAATCACCTGCTCACCCCGGGCGCGGTTGCTGAGCACCGGCCGTGGCTGCAGCCGTTCAATGGGTTTGAACGAAAACGATGAACACTGTGTATGCTTTTAGAGGGAGATACCCCAAGCCGCTGTCCCGTGCCCGCTGATCCCTAGAGGTAGTTAATTGATGATCTGCAATCAGAAGTACTGGTATGAATCAGTTTTGATCCGAATTCTGACAGGCTTGAGTCGTGTCAAGTCGAGCTAGAGTATCACGTGCTCTTGATTGTGGCCTTGGCCACTGCCAACATCTGCGTGCATGCACGCGCGGACTCAGCACTTGTCCTGTTGTCATGCAATGTTTTCGTACGGATGGGACCGCATGCCAGCAGCGACAGGCTCGTTGTATGACAATTTACATGTGTCACACTGTCGCTCTCAGAGCTCACACACATGCGAACTGTTTCATATGAACATACACATCTGGCGCCCAGCAATCATTACCGTCAGTGCATGTGCCACCATGTGATCGAGCGCCCAGTCGATCCGCTAGCTGGGCCGCTACAGTTTTACAGTGGGAGCTAGAGTGGCCGCGGAACGTTCTACTGCATCCTTTAAACATGTAAATCATTGCGTTCCGGGTTTTGTAACAATCGTACGTATCATGTGCAGATTGACTTTCATGTGGCGGGAAAACTGTGGCCCATTAATTTGGTGTCTTCACAATCATATAACATGGACTGACCCGAAGTCGGGCGATATGGCCCCCGCAATCCATGGTCTGATTGACGGTAGTGACTGTGGACGGAACAGATTGCTGACCAGCAAAGTCCACATTTAGTTTGCCCGGACGCTGTGCATAAGGTCCGAACCTGAAGTAGAGCTTGACGCGTACGCTTACGTCACTGAGGATCCATCTTGCGGTGCCAAACACGGTCGACCTCTGAATCACACAATTCCGTCTAGTGCATCTCCTGGACTGCTCTTAACTCTCTTACGTTTGAAATGTCACGTTAACGGTCGCCACTGTTTGGATGAGGTTGAAGGGACATGCTCCCCCATCTTTTCCCAGTCCGGATGTTCACAAGTAAAGGCACCTTCAGGACTTGTACCCTTTCCATGAGCTTTCGCAAGTCGGTCGAAAACAAGTCCACGTGGCCCTCAGGCACCTCAAACAGCAGCTCGTCGTGCATCTACGAGATTCGAAGGTTCGCTTTGGGTTAATTGAACGGAAGAGAAGCAGGAGAAGAACTAGTACACTGCACAGAATCGAAGGATGCTCTGCACCCGTAGCATCCAATTCTATCTCCTCGGTTCTAGCAACAAATGACGGAGAGGTTTGCTAGTTGCTGAGTGCTCTAATGTCTCACCTGCATGACCAGCTTCACGTTTGGATGTACTCCTCGTCTCAGAACGTCGTCGATTGCAATCATGGCCGCCTTCACAATGTCCCTGTTATACTAAAGAGATGGTCAAGCGTACTTCTTATCGAGATTACGTCGCACGAGAGGGCGTTTGCTCCAGGCTAGGTTCCATCTGGCGAGTTTCACTTGGTTCACCAGTTGCTACATCTGTCGGCGGCGCTTTCAGTAACCCGCCATGCTATCAGAAGAGTCGAGGCCAACAGGTGAGTGCGCTTTGGTTAGGTACAATCATTGGGGACTTGATATGATCGTCTAGCGGTCTACGAAGGCAGGGCAAAGCAAACGGTGAGCGACAGCATTCTCCGCACAAAGTCGACCAGCCAGAAACTACTCACGACGCGCTTCCTTGAATCAATGAGTTGACCGCCTGGCGCTCCGCTTGCGCCCGCTTCTCACTGTAACTAGACCGTATATCTACAACAGGAACACACATTCTTTCAGAGGACTGTGCTACAATTTGCCATATCCATTCCGCATCTCCGAGTCGCATCGCATGACATAGAAGGCCGGGTTCTCAAGGCCTAGCCGCAGGTATTTTCTTTCCTTCGTGGCGATAGTTTCAAAAAGATCAAAGGCTCATATGTTAAGAAGGGAGAAACCAGAAAGCACAGCGCGCGCATGACTACGGCAAACTTCGACATACTTTCAGGGCGAAAGTCATGATTAAGAGTAGGGTCTTTTCCTTACCTGGTAGCATTCTCTTCCGACCGGAGATCATCGTCACGAATCCGTCCAGTCGGACTCTGGCTTTCACCTGGTTGATGAAGGCCCTTATTGTCGGGAAATGTTTGAGAAAGTTGTCCATGAGACGTTCCGCTTCGTGAGGGGATACCTTGAGCGACGCCGAGAGCGCAACTCGGCCCTGTCCGTAAAGGATCCCGTCTGCATGGAGAAAGTGACTCAACAAGGTCTCGGCAAATGCTCGCTGGGATTATCTTCTGAGCAAGATTTGCATTTAAAGGAGCTCAGAAAAAGCAAGGATGCACTCATTGAAACTTCCAAGTGAGGGCAGCTAAAGCTAAAGTGGCTCTTGGAGTCCAGAATGCTCACATGATATGCGTTTCACGGTCTGCCTTTCCTCTTCGGTGACATCCTTGACCTGTTTACCCATCCAGTGGCTTGCAATCATCCTGAAAACATCTCCCTCTTCTCCAACTGATCGAAGGATGGAAATGATGTGCCGGTCGTCGGATAGGTGGGCTGCTAAACGTAGCTCCATTTGGGAGTAGTCGGCTGAGACCAGCACAGACCTGTAAAATGGACCGCCTTTTTCTAGTGAGGCATGAGTACTGCAATACTATTGCAATGCTAATGCCGCAGCAAGGGCGATCAAGACCTTGGATTGAATTTGCAGAATGTCTTCGAGATATCACCACTTTTGATAGAACCGTATCTGCTGGCACGTGACAGGGTGCGAAAAGGATCTGCGCATTCTCTGGTTTCGAAGTAGAAGTCTCCTCTCGGGTCTCAAATTTTGTGCATTTACGAATTCTTGCTAAAGTCGATCACTATGCCTGCTCACCCTTCCTGTGCTACAAAAGCTTCCCGTATCTTGATCCCGAATCTGGAGGCATCGTCTTCTCCGGTCTTCACTCCTTCTAAAGTGTACCGTGGAATGTTCTGGAACGGATTGGGTTAGTCGTCTAAACCGAGATGGCGTGCTAAGTGAGTCGGTGGATGATGATTACTCAATGGTGTCCAAGGGTATTTGCTGGTCTTGTTAATTTGATCTCCAACCTACAGAACTACGTGTTGAGCTTCATCGAATGTAAAGCCGTGAGTAAAATAAACATTGGCTATTGTAAAAGCTTGTGACGACAATTTTCATGCGTCAAAATTTCCTCAGGACAGCTCGTTGGAATGGGATACTTGTTTGTTATCTGATAGAGACATCGACAGTAGATAAGATTACAGCCATCCTTCTCTCACCTGCAGGTTCGGTTCACTTGATGAGATTCGTCCCGTGGCTGTCCCAGTGCTGTTCCATTTTGAGTGGATTCTTGTGGAATCGTCCTGGAAGGATGAGTGGGCTTGAGCAGTGACCGTGGACACGGTCTGGACGACCATAACGAAAGAATAACTTTCCACTGCAGAGCAGATTGCTGCAACTCAACGGAAACAGAGCAACTTATGTCGCAGCTTCTTACGGAGTCCAATACTCAATGATACTCACCAGAACTTTTCGGCGAAAAGATAGTTGATGTCTGAAAGAAACTTACTGCATCTGGCCTGATCCTCTTTGCCAGCCCGTCCAACCAAGTAGATTTGAGTTTCAAAGTTTGACGGAACTGCAAAGAGGAGACAGAAACGTTACTTTCCCGGAGAATTGGGAGCTTGTTAATGGAAACGACAACTAGTAACGAAAAACATGGACCATTGGTGCTCCGACATGATGGTCGATCGAATGAGTAAACGGCGCACCTCCAGAATGATGCCCGGGAGTTCGTGGAATGGAACAAGGTTCGTCAGGACCGCCTCGCTTGTAGTAGCGTGTTTCTCAGATTTGCTTTTCCTCTTTCCTCTGATCTTTCCGTCTCCACCGTGCTGCAGTTTCTCGTGTAACTTGAGGTCCTGCAAAACAAATCATACATCAGCAGTAGTCGTTTGCACCTCCCGTAACCTTTCATATCAAGGAAAACATGGAGCTGGTGAATCGGTTCGCTTTCATGCAGTTTGGCTTTAATCATACTGAACCCTCCTGCAGACCTCCTGGCCCAGAAGAAAGGAGGGCCTTGTCCGGGTGCAGTCTTTGTTATACTTTACTCCAGGAGTTCAGGATGTGGGGTTGCACACCACAGTCCTTTCATAGTACAACAGGCTTACCTCGAACAGGACTTGAGCCACTTGTTGAGAGCTGGAAAGGTTGATCTCCCGGCCAATCAGCACGTTTGCTCGTTTTGAAAGCTCGCCTACACGTTTCTGGATGAAAGCCGGACGCACGATATTTTAGAGAAATGCGCGCCTAATTGAAAAACCACAAACCTGCCCTAAAACCACACAGGTGACCCGAATGATCGCAGCTTTTGTCCACTGTAAACTGCTCAAGGAAATTCTCATACAATTGCATTGCAAGATAACAGATGGATTTGCGTCTGACCTCAAGAAGCGCCCTCTTCGATTGCAAGTAGGGAACCTGCAAAAAAGAGCAGGTGAATCCAAACGGCTGGTTCGAGTTCTTGCAACGTTATAAACTGCCAGTATACTCGATAAAGAAAACTTTTCTATCAAATTTATCATTTCACTGCGGGCGGGTAGCAGCCCACAACTGCTTGCAAGAAACACACTAGGATATTTTCAAGCATCCAGATCCATTATCTAAGAGCAATCAGTCAAGTTCGACTATAAGCTTACATCTAAACCAACACCATCCAGCTCGAGATGCGCAAGGATCACGGTCAGTTTCAATTCGCGCCTGCAGGACGTCCGTCAACGGCAAGTCAGAGATTTTCATCCAGGTCTGTGTCCTACCAGCCTGGAACACAGCTTTGAGACAGTCGGCTAGATTCTGCACAGGACATGCCCTGCTTACTAACTTCAGATGTCGAAGACAAATTCAACCGCGGATATATCCGAGAAGAACTGACCTGAAGGCGTCCTCGAGTCCCTGCATTCGAACTTGCAGCGTTTCGAACAACGTCTTGCTCGCTTCCAAGTCCTGCTTAAGGCTTTCTGAAGTGTTGCGCTGCTCGGCAATGTCATGTGCTTCAGGAGGAGGGTTGCCTGGAGCTTCAGGGAGAGGGAATACTGGGAAGCTCTTCGAGGTTAAGTCGCTGAGCTCATATGAATCCAGTTCGGAGTGGATTAACCTGGAGACTACGGTCAAGGGAAAAGCGGGTTGAAGAAGGGTGTCTGCACATCAACCGTTTCGGTTGTCCAAGCATTATCTTTCGACTCGATATAGATTCGAAGGACGTTTCTTACTTGCTTGGTCTGAGATCATGAATGCAGTCCGCCAATAAGGCGTGCCACCATATCTTGATGTAATTATAGAGAAATGATAGCCGAGCAGACTCCACAATCATCCCTGGGACTTGCACTCATCGTTGGGGTTGCACTGGATGAGGATACCAAGCCATGATCTGCAGGTCGCAAAAATAACGAAGTGAGGCTCAACCTGACTAACCGCGGCAACTTTGTATCTTGTCACACAAGATCGATGTAAATCCGAAGGAGAATGTAGCAGCACGAGCAATTTTTTGAGAAACGTAGCAGGTAAGAAGGCCTTTCATTTGTTACCTGCGGATCAGCAAACTCGAAGATGCTCGCGTAAACTGCAAAATCGGATGGGAGCACAATCACCTATAGTTCAAGTGTTGCGGACATTGCAAACATCCAGAAGCCTCGGCGTTTGCATAGATTGACCATCAAGCCCTGACTAGTGGGAGATGAGTCATCCGTTTGCATATCTGAGCTCCCTCAAGTCTTGAAGCTCGTGATCAGCAGTCCCGTGAATCTATGTGAAATACGAATTGTTGCAGTTGCTCAAGCTGGTCGTCAAAGAACTGCTTACCATGAATGCCGAGTCTCAGGAAGTTTTTGACAAGAGCTGGGAGATTGAAGCAGAGCTTTCGACTTGAGTTGGCAATGAGTCCGCGCAACATGTCTTTCCTGCAGGTATGCAGTCCCATAATTCTCGTAATAATGCATTTCAAAAGTGCAATTGGCGAGTTTGACTGTTCTTAGGTCTCAATCGACTCACTCTGGATCAAGACTCTACAGATCAGCTTGCAAGGAACGCGGACGACTTTGTGAGAAAGTTTTCCAGTTCTTTTTCAACCTACCTCTCTTCGAGACGAACCATCAGATCACCAGTTGAAGAGCTCTCTTCGTCGAAATCTACGTAGAACAGCTGGTCGCAGAGTTGCAGCTGTTCAGGCTCGAAGTCCACTTCCGAAGGGAAAGAAAGGATGAAACCAACGCCAACAAGCTTGTCCATTGAATCTTCCAAATTCGTAGTTCGTTCATTCTCTGTTTCGGTGATCTTGGATACCGCACGTCTCTGCAAAACACGAACCAGCATGATTGCCGACGGACAAGCAGTCGACGAAAGGAGACGGCATTGGAATCTACTCTGACCGAGGGAACCTACGAAGAGTTCTAAGACTCGGATTCCCTTTCAACGTGCATCGTCAGTTTACTACTTGAAGAAATAGCAGAATAAATGTTTAGGCTGACCTGCTTGAGCACAATCTTCCGCTGAGAAGGATTCAGCTTCCGCAAGCTTGAATAATCCGCCGTTCCTGTATTTTCACGGAGACGTAGTCCAAACACAATCGTTGTGCCGGGTGAATCCAAGACTTGCTTCACCCGCAGCCACCAGCGGTCCCTTTGAGAAACTGCGCTCAAATTGACGACCGTTACTCTGCTGCTGTTTATGGTCTCAGTGAGCCGGGGAGGATCTGGCGATGCTTGTGAGCCCTTTGGATTGTACTCTGTTTCTGGAAGCCTTTGCTTCTTCGAGGAAGCTGAAGTTTGAGTTTTCCTGTCTTTTTGGAATCCCCTTCGAGGAAACGTTTCTCTGAAGATCAGAGTCTGCTTCAGTTTCCGTTTGCCAGAGAACTTCCTTCCATTTTTCTCGCATTTTTGGGGTGCTAGATCGCACGTCATCACTGTTTCGAGCGGTTTGACCGAGCCTCTCCCATCTGGAACTAGGATTTCTAGCCGGCTGTCGTCCAGATCCTGTCTGCAAGATGTGACCGTTGATTGCACCGATCTTTCGAGTTCATTCTCAGCGCCCAAATCGATGTGCTGCTGAAGGCAGAATTCCGCTTGCTCATTGTGCTCATGGAGACACAATGAATCCTTGATATGGGGGTTTGTGCTTGCGGTTTGAGTATTGAGGTCATGGCCTGTGGTTTCTGCAGACTGCTCAAGGGCGCTGCTTGCGAGGTCGACACCAAAAAGCATCACTTTGTTTCTGCCAGACGGTTCCTCGGCTTCTCCTTGAAATGGTGCATCTTCTTCTTCCAGAGGTCCATAAGCCATGTTGAAAGGCAAGAGTTGTGGATGCATTTTGTCGCAACCTGTTGCAACCGATGGCGGTTCAACTTCTTGATTGAAGCCAATTGAGAGTGTGACCGATGGACTGATATCGACCCCGAACAAGCGGATGGTCGAAGGCATTGTGTGGCAGATGCTTCACGCTTGATTCTCTCCGTTCCGCACAACCAAGCGGCTTCAATGCAGCTTCAAATGTGTTTTTCTGTCATGGTAGGTTGTATTCTTACGCTTGTGGAACTAATCAGCTTCTGCGGTTACAACTTCTCCAAGCCCCGAGTCACAGGACAGCCAGTCCATTAGGGTGTCACGTACAGGCGAACAGTCCGGCCATTTTGTCAGGCGAACAGGGAGCATACCGGACCTAGACAGCCAATCTGAGTTTGGCATTTGCCTCAGGTGCGAATGTTATGGTTGCGCACTGACTGTACGTTTTTACGTTTATACAATCCGTGAACTGCCTTGCATAATGATGCAATCGTTTCTGCAAGCTGCCTGCCTCCAAGCACTTGTCAAGAGTGCTCTCACTGCTTGGTCTACTGCCATAGCATGCTGCACTGATCAGCTCTCCCACAATTGCTCATATAAGAATTATTTATCAAACTCGTGTCAGTACTCTCAATTCAGAATCATGCGGGAATCAAGCATTCTTCATGTCTTCTAAGGACTGCGCATGGTTGATTTTCTACTTCCATCTAAGAAGGAGTCCTAATCTTAGGAGTCCTAATCTTAGTAAGATTAGGACTCCTGGCCGAGCGACGGACACACTCACTGTCTCACATGCAGAGCTCAGCTAGCCAGGCCGGCTCAGCTCAGCTAGTGACCGTCACGTTCTGCCGTGGAAGAGCGGCCGGCCGGCCGCGACTTCGAACCGGCGCGGCCGCGCACAGCCCCCATCTAGGGTTTACATTTGCGGGACTTGTGATATATATTGTCGCAATCGCAACCGTTCGATCCTAACCACTTTCAAGCCAGATATCCTTCCAAATGAGTGCGCGCATAACGGTCTTGATAAATCTTGGCCCACCGTGTACTGGCCCCACACTAGTGGCCCAGAAACTTGGCCTGCACTTGCTGAGCTGCAGCTCGATAGTACACGGTGCACTGTGCCGAGTACCCCATCCAATGAGATCAAAACTTTGATCAAGTGTGTCAAGCACAGCTCCCGTCACACAGCTACAATTCTGTCACTCGAGAGGTGCGCGGCAAGGTACTGCGGATCAATGCAGCTAGTACAGTAGTTGCGTTGAATCAAAATCGACACCTTCCAAGTTCAATATGTCTCACGCAATCTCGTGCAGCGATCTTGAGTATGTGATACTTCGTAGATACCACGGTACTGCGTGGTGATCACACTACTAGGTATAAGGTAGATCAGTGCTGCTACAGTAGGCTAGGGAGGGCCGGCCATGCACGAGTTCGAGCCTGCATGGGCAATCTGGACGGACGTTGCACAGGAATCAGCAGGTGCAGGAGCCAATGTTGGATCAATCAAGGATCAACGGTCGGTCAAACACGTGAATATCCCCGCGTTGGCAAAAGCCGCGTCATAGGCGGCCCGCAATGATTCCCTGCAGCGCACTTCGGCCCTTATGAACAAGCATACTCGCTTGATCTGCATCCGCTCGTAGCAGTGAACTCCGCTTGTGACGACAATAATCCAGCATTCAATAGAGCTGAGCATGCTCACTCACCAGAGTATGCTACCTTGGGCAGTCATCCTTCGTGGAGGCAGAAGCCAGCTACCCTGACAGATCGCCAGATCGTCCTGCCTCCTGGCTGCTGCTGGCTTGCAGCGGTGAACGCAGTTTCGAGCTTCGTCACAGAACCTTGCAAAAGAGGTTTCCTTTATACCACGAGAGGGTGTTCTGTCCTTGGCAACTTTGCAGGAGCTTGCAGCACATGGTTTCTTGAGCAAGTCCCCAGGCCGCTGAATTGAGTTGCCATTCAGTTGATCCGGTTGGGCAGCATTTGACTCAATTAGCAGCAAATGCTATTCGTCCCAAGGGTTTTTGTTTGCTGCTTAGCAGCAGGTAACGGTCAAAGTTGAAGCTGCGGCTTGGAGGATCAGACGGGTTAAGATGGGTTTCTCATCCCTCTCCAAGGCTTTGTTGAAGCCGCATAAGCTTGCCGGCACGCTGCTCCTTCTGTACTTTTGTACAGCATTCCATGCGGCAGCAGACTATTTGCTTCCCTCCGTTTTCTCAGAGGTCGCCAGAACCTTTGCACAGACACCGTCCGGATTGGGACAGATCCAGGGCAAGAGATATGTAGTCAGCGCTCTATCTTCGATCCTAGCAGCATACCTGGTGATGCATATGAGCAGGCCTCGCTTAATCGCATTGGGTACGGTTTTGAGCGCGGTCACTCTGGCGGGCGTTGGCTTGTCTTTCTCTCTAGACCTCCTTGTATGGTGCTGGGTGATCAACTCAATATCTCTAGCGCTAGTCATGCCAGCTATCTCGTCCTTCATAGCGGATGCAGTACCGCAGAAAGAGAGGGGGTTGGCATTTGGAGTTTTGTCTATATGCTGGGGTCTAGGGAAGTCCGCAGGGAGCTTCTTTGCTACGACAATGGCTGGCGGAACGTTTTACGGGTACCCCGGCTGGCGCAGTGCAGGATGCATACTTGCTCTGCAGGGATGCCTCATTGGCTTCTGGTGAGAAAGTTTACCCACAGCATCCCAGCCAGCTGATATCTGCAACTTTTCCCCTGCGGTGCCAAGCTCAGAAGTAGAGCGCCATTGTATGCTATAGAGCAAACAGGAGCCAGAAATACCGTTGCGTCAAGTCTTTGGCTTTAGGGCAGAGCAACTCCAGAAAGGGTTCTTTTCCCAAAGGCATCTCGTGCTCGAAGATTCCTTTATCCCTTGCAAGCAGATAGATCTGACTCTGACACCCAGCACAGAGAGACAACAGCTGTTTGGATCACAGCACCCCCACGTCTACTAGACTGACCTGCCATTGGTTCCTATGATCGTGGAGTTGACTACCTTGCTCAGAACAACCCTGCTTGCTAAGAACACACATTTTTATTCATAACGATCCCCCTGTTTCGCAGTGTGTATCTCTTTGCTGTTGATGCAACCGACGAAGGGGCTGAAGAGAGTCTGTACGAGCCCCTAGTAGACGCAGCCGTAGTTGAACCGGTCTCGAAGCTCGTGAAACTGAAGAACGATGTGACCACCATTCTCAAGTAAGTCATGAAGGTGTCTCTTCAGTAGATCAGGAGGGGTGCTTGGCAGCTGAGTAGCTTTAAGTATGATAAAGCCGCCTTCATTTTAATCTCGAGATGATTCGAAGGAGACTTGCAATCGACGTGGGACCCGTTGAAAGTACCCGCTTGTCTCCTCCAAGATATGGAGGTGGCGCAACATGTGAGCCTGGCAATGAGAAAGCTCAGGGAACGAATCAAGGGTGTAAAACCGGATGTAGCAAGTTCTTCAATGCAACTATTGTAGGGTACATTGCTGCCTCGGTCTTAGATCAAGCTGACGCGATTGGAAAGCGACTGCAGAGGCCGTCTGGCTCCCACCACGTGTGCCATTCCTGAACGTTTTTATTGATACCCGTCTTTTCCACCGCAGGATCGAATCTTTCCAAGCCATCATTCTCCAGGGGGTTGTGGGTTGCTGGCCCTGGGTAAGCACACTGCAAACTCTTTCGTTCTCATTGCTCACTTAACATACAAAGGGAGGTAGCTTGCAGCCCACTGAGCAGAAGCTCTCCTGTGCTGATTATCAAAAGCATGTTCTGAGCGCGTCCGTAAAGCTCCGTTTCTAACAGTGACTCGTGCGTTTGAATCAACTCTGAAGCACTCAGCGTAAAATTGAGCCCCTTGATTTGCCTTTCCTTCCAACGTCTCGATGATTTCCGCCGCTGCTTTTCGTCCCCCCACAAACGGCTCATCCAGCTGAGCTCCTGCCCTTTCCGCCGTTCCGCAGACCGCCCTCGTGTTCCTCACTATGTGGCTCGAGCTCATCGGCTTCACGCACAGTGAGGCCGCCGTCCTGGTCGCCTGCTTCAACGTCAGCGTCTCCATCTCCGGCTTCTTCGGCGGCTGGATCGGCGACTTCGCGGCCGCGCGCCTGCCCAACACGGGGCGCGTCATGTGCGCGCAGTTCAGCGCAACCATGATGCTGCCCGTCTTCTCCGCCGTCCTGCTGGGCCTGCCCAACGACCCCGACTACTTCGTCTCCTACGCAATCACGCTCTTCGTTGGCGGGCTGTTCATCTCGTGGCCGGGGTGAGCGCGAGAGCTGCACACCGATTTCTTTCTGCTGGAGAATCTCTTTCATGACCCGACTGCTCCTGCGCAGTAGCCGTCGAAGTTCGTTTGTCACGGCTCCACTCCTTTCTAAGGTTCGGACGGAAGCCTCAAGGCCCACCGGCAAACAAGGGGCCAGGATGCGGTAGGACCTATCTGATCCAACGCCTGTCTTTAGCCCGATCCCAGCCGGCCCTCGCTCTGACAAAGGTAACTTTTCTCGACTAACGTCTCTCTTGTCTGTCTGCGCAGCGCGTCCACCAACAACCCGATCTTCAGCGAGGTGGTCCCGCCGCAGCTGCGCACGACGGTGTACGCGGTGGACCGCCTGCTGGAGCTGCTGCTCGCGTCGTTCGGCCCCTTCGGCGTGGGCTACGTGGCGGAGCACATCTTCGGCTTCGACCTGCACGACATGGGCGACCACCGCAACCCCAAGGACGCCGACTCGCTCGGCATGGCGCTCGCGTGGAACATCAACTTGCCCGCCGCGCTTTGCGCGCTGTGCTACACGTGGCTCTACTGGACGTACCCGCGGGACCGGGAGCGCGCGTTGAAGGCGCGGGGGGTGGTCGTCGTACGGGAGCCCGAGTTGCTGGCGTGAGGGTTGGGAGAAGGCGGCCGAAAGTGGCTGCTTCGTACCGAGAGATCAATAGGACACAGCGCGAGCTTCTGAGCTTAACGATGTGTGTAAAAGCTGTAAAGAATGGTGGATCCAGTTTTGTTAGAATTGTCTGGAGATGGAACCCAGTTTCCTGTGTTTCTGAGAGCCTTAAGTAGAGCACTGCGATGGGGGAGAGATCAGTGAGTGGATGCAGCCAAATTGGCTGGTTGGGGTTTGCTATCGAGGACTGTCACTCGTGCACGCGACCAGGGCACAAGCAAGATCAATTCCAGCGACATGCGCACGCACGTACATTAGGACCGCAAAACTGTCAGTACAGCTTCTAAACACTAGCCGTTTACGTAAGTCCGTCACATTAGCTATCCGTTAATACACACCGTCTAGTTCAGGACGCATATTCTTTTTAGCTAGCGAGATATAACAACGGTTGCCTGAGCATGTATTGAGCTGTAGCATAGCAGTAGGATTCATTGATTTTGAGATTGAATGCTCAAAACTTCTCAGTACGCGTACCCATTCTGATCCGCGTACTCTTTGCCGCTTAATGTAAGAAAGCCAGTGGGTGCCCACGCGATCACTGAGTTTTTCTGTCATGAAACGCTTGGTTTGCTGCATGAGCCAGTCGCATGATCGATGGGATAGCAAGTTACGGATTGAATGTGCCTAGCATAAGATCGCCGCGCCGGATCCGACGCTCAGCATTCTAGCTCTAGCATTTGCATGATACTTAGCGACAGACTACAAACATACCAGCTGGATCCGATCGTGTAGATGTGACGGTGACGTCCGGCGCCTGCATGCTGAAATGTCATTATACGTGCATGCGCGCCCACTAATGCGCAATGATCATTGATGAATCTGATCCAGCTCGTGCCGCCTGGCATCATGCTCAGGCTCTGCCACGTACGTTGCTCCACGTGATGCATGATACAGCAGATTCCGCGAGAAGGCTGACTGTACGTTGGGATCGACGGTGCTGTGGAAAGGGTGACCCTGCATGGCGTAAAGACAACTCCAATCTGCAACTGCTATGCGCATATCAACGGACCAACAAAGTTCATGCAAAAGCTATCAAGCATATGGCAATATATGCACATGCACGTTTGAGCACGGTTGGGCAAGAATTATAGCCATACAGAGTTCGTGACGTTCGCAACTTTCTTGAATCTGCAAGCATCATGATCTGCTACATTTCTAGTATGGACTATCAGACAACACCATGTCATGTCTCTTATTGTCAGCATGCAAACATATGTGCCCACTTCTAAGCTTAAAGAAGCCCAGAAATACCATCTTGAGTGCGCATAAACTCGTTAAGACTTTGTAGGACGCGTTCGACTCTCAGAGTCTCTTTATGGCTTGATGTTGAACATTCCGTTGCAGCCCACAATCCTCAACCTCGTCGCAGGGGTCACCCACCTCCGTCGAGCAAACGCTTCCAGTGCCTCTAGCTACCTATTAATAGGTGTACGAAGGCGAGCTTCTAGTCTTCGGACTGCGTCAATATGCAGAATCAGGAGGTCGTGCTGGAGGATGCTATATACATTGAGACCCTGCAGAATACGCAAGATTCATGAGGTTGATTTCTAAGCTGCCGACAAAGAAGAGATAAATTCAACCCTGCAGCAGGGAATGTAATTACGCACCTTGTATAGTAGGGTAACTGAAAAGAATTCTGAGTTCCTCTTCTGGAATATCAGCCGGACGTATGCGGAGGCTACTCATGGAGCAACTCCCTGAGAACTGCCAGGTTGGGTCACCGACGCACCCAAGTCGTTATGACCTCAAGCATGCAAAGCTCTCCCGAGCGCAGCTCTGATTGACCACAGTCCAGATCTTGTCAACCAGCTTTCCCATAGCAACGTGCCTCGTATGCAGATCTGGTCAATTTCCGACTCTCGAAGTATTATTTGCTGAGGTAAGACAGAAGCATATAAATTGAATCATGCAACGGTCTGACAACAAGAGGTTATTGAGCATAAGGGCAGCGCTACGCAGTCAAGGTGAGCCGGTACTCGATGTGACACAAGTCACACATATCCTGACTCATTGTGTCCAGTCTGTACGTAGGCAACGTGGGGCAAAGACAGCAGGCGCGGTCTTACCTGCCAGGGCAGCAGGTGCACGTTGGGCAGGTTCCCGCTCGCGAGCTGCAGCACGGGGTTGACCACGGTCCGCCCGTCCACAACGAGCACCTTCTTGGAGCCGTCCAGCGACTCCACCGACTGCACAAAGTCCTTGGTCTTGTGCGAGGCGGGGGTCACGCTGTCGAACACCAGCAACTGCAGGCAGGACCGAGACTCTGGTGTGTCAGCGACCGTCACGGGAATTGATGAGGGAGCGACGTCACAGGGACCGATGAGCAAATGCGAGCTATCTGCTCAAAGCTTGCAAGATGAAAGCCATCTGCGTCTCCTGACAGAATTGTGTCGTCGTTCCGGCCTCGACTTTGTGAAGCTGGCTGGCGCAGTCCGTGTCACAGTTGACGGTCGTAGAAGCCGTCTCCTTCGAATTTAGTTGGGCATTGAAAGTCAAGCCCAGAAAAGCAACGAACAAGCGTTCCCGGCTCCGTCATAACTCAAGCGGCTGCCTCGATTCAGGCAGCTAACAACAGCAGGTGCCAGCAGCCAGGAAGGAGCAGATTGTGGACGCTAACGGCCCGCTGGGTGTTCTTACCCGGCCCTCTGCCAATCGAGCGGAGAGTGCAGCCTTGAGCCCCAATCGGCGGACCTTTTTGTTCAGCTTGTGCTCCCAGTCACGAGGCTGTGGGCCATGCGCAATCGCTCCCCCTCGAAACTGCCATCAAAAACAGACCGTTCAGAAGTGTGCTCGAAGCATGGTTGCAGCGCTTGTGTTCTCATAAAAAGTAGACTGCAACGCACGTGAGGACAACAAAACCTTTTCTCGATCACATGAGGGCTTTGAGACCATAAACATTCTGCTTCGTAAGACCAGGAAGATAAAAATCAATCCCAGTCAAGTATCCCGGCGCAAAAGGAGACAGCATGCTGGTAATAACGGCTCACCTGCGGGCCCCTCAGATCTCCATGCCGTGCCCTTCCGAGACCCTTTTGCTTGTACGGTTTTTTGCCTGTCCCGCTTATAGTCGACCTGGTTTTCGTGGAGGATGTGCCCTGGTGGAGAAGTACCGACACGTTTAGTCTCATACGTGGCGGTATGCCCAAGCAATCAGGTTCCCCACCAAGCGCCCTACCACGGGAGCTGGTAATCCTTTACTAGACATCACAGGGTTTGGAAGCAGAAACCGGCTCTAACAAGAGTTTCAATGCAAACAAAGTTCGCCGATACTTGATGGACCTTTCTGAATCTGTTAGCGATGCCCAAAAACTTTGATGCAGACTGATGCGGAAAGTACTTGTGCAAGGGAAAACTGTCTGCATGTTCCTTGGATCTACTCGGATCGAGCATGACTCTTCAATCATTTAGAACCAACCTGTCTTCGCTTGGCCAGCTGCCACACCACCACTCTGTGCACTATGTCCGCCCGGATGGGTATGTTGAAGACGTCACCGCCCAGGACTGCCGTGCCCCTGTCCTCCCCCTGGAAGTTGGTGACTGGGACCTCCACATCTCTGTACACCTCTGCGAGCCACATAATACGAGAATGCTTGAACTGCGCCTTGGCACAAACAGGTGTAAGACCCATTTAAAAACCTGTGCTGTGCAATCGGACCATCGCAGCAGCACCTGAGTGAACGTGCTGGTCAACACAATGAGCACCTCGTCAGAAATTCTTGACACGCAACCAGAGGAGAAGATACAAAATATTACAGTTGCTTGTACCACAGGGGAGGATGGCTACCGTTCATTGTTAAACTGGAGGCTGACTAGAGGGCCTTTGCTCATGTCAGTGGCACTGGAACCGGGGTTTTTCTGTATCCCATTCTCCAATTGGGGGTCCATCATATAGAAAGGAAAGCACTCTCAACAATTAAAGCGGGTTCCTATGGTTGAGGCTCCGAAACAGATAGAAAGTTCCGACTAAACACCATTGAGTGAAGAAAAGTTGCCGGCTTTGACGAAGACCGCACTGTGAAAGCCGTGTGCTGCTCCTCAGTGACCAATGTGAACCTTGACAAAAGGTCCACAGCTTGGAGGCAGGTCCTATATCGGGTCCGAACGAACGCTTGATACATCGTCAATGCAAGAGTGACACTCGCAACTCAAAATTCTCCCACCGGATAAGCTCCGGCCGAATCCAAAAACTTGCATATGCTGTCTGTTTTCACGCCGCACACTCCTCACCTCGAACCTTTGTCTCCACTTTCTCCAGTGGATCCAAAACGCTGGTGCCAAATGGGCCAAATGACGCAGTCCTGTGCGATATCGCCTGCTTTGCCTCCTCAAGGCTCGCTAAGCTCCTCTGCAGCCTCTCAACCAGGACCCCGCTACTTGGTCTAATTTCGGCAGCAGTTGCGGTGGCCTCTGTCGTCACGTGTGCCACCAACTGATGTGGGGCCGTGGACGAAGAAGCGGAGCTGAGCAGTCCAAGGGCCTCAACCACCTGCATCAATTTCTATCTGCTTGAATGCAATCTACAGCAGAAGTGTGCTGCAATAGACCAGCGCTTCGAGGATCTTCAAAGACATGAAGAAAAGGGTGCCCCACATACCGCTTAAAAGGGAGGTCAGCCAATGTTCTGCTGAAAAGAAAGTCGGAGTAGAACAACAACTCATTCTCACAGAACAGCTGATCTTCAAACGCCCCGGAGATTACAAAGATCGTTTGCAAGATATCCCATTCAATGTAAAAATCTGCTGGAGCCCCCAGAGCAATCTCGTAGTCAGCGTTGCAAACAAGTTTAGTGCGACCTCCTGATGCTCTCATGACGTTCTTACCCTTAGCGGTGCACAACACTTCCCTCCAACCGCCTTGCACAACCCCCGAGCGAGCAGCATGGCTGCGCATCAACCACAAGCAACCAGCATAGGCGGCTGCGTGTCAGAATACAAGAAGCCCGCCAGAAGCAGCCGGGCAACCCTTTTCTGTCGAGATTATGCAGCAAAAAATCACTCAATGTGGCTGTCCTTCAAGACGAGCATCAACCGTGTGTGGGATAGGAGGGGTTGGGCCGGAGGGACAACTGCAATGGCGCCTGATCTTTTAAGTTTTAGCTGGCTACTGTACAGGTCTGTTGATCATTGACGCCGCGCCTCACAGCTACGCTCTAGAGTCTACATACGTCTCCCGGTCTCGTTCGTGCTCAAAATTAAATTCAATGCTACCTTCAGGAAGGCAAATGAAGTTCGGATGAAAAAATGAGCCACTCACAGCCTGCCATGTTAGACCCCCCGGGACGCAAAGTGGTGGGTATGTCCACAATGGCTCGAACCAGGGTCGAAAGCCCACTTGGAGCCGGTACGGACCCAAGTGTAATCGACGGGTCTGACCCGGGCAGTCTGGGGGGCCATCATCTTATGTCCAACTACCTAAATAACTCCATTGAAGAATACATGATGGCATGACGCATCCCGAGTGCACAACAATGGTCTGCATGGCCTGATCGACTCGTGTCGTACCTGAGATCGAAAGTTGTTCTTCTTTTGCATTGTATGGGCACCGAACGCTTAGGGCTACAAAGGCTATAATTGTAAAACTGGCCCAGACTTTCATAACACCCTAAGATCTGCAATTGCAGGCTTGCTATCAGATCGCGGCTCTCAAATTACTCGAGGGTTGGTTAATTCTGCAAGATCTCGCTTGAGCTTTGCCCACGCATATACTTGTGAGCAAGCAAGGCTGAAAGCATATGTGACGCCGTATATGCACGTGAGATCCGTTG